AAATCGGGAAAGAACACAGCTGAATGTGGGAGAAAGGACTGTGTATTAGTTTGATAGTGAAACTCTTGTCATCATAACATTTTTATAGCTCAGTACTAAACTGCAAATGATGACTTAAACTGCTAAGAAAGACCTAGTCCTCCAGCCTCAAGACTGCACCTATTATCCAAATCGGTTTACTTCACAGACATTTTTAGTATTTAGTCATCCTGTAATATAAGAAAACTAAGAAAAAACCCACCTGTTTCAATGCTATTTTCATCTTTAATACTCCTTTACTACAAGAAAAAGTAGCCCAAGAGTGATGTCATGGAAATCAGCTTCCATGGTCTTTAGAGATTTCATCCAGTGAGAATTCTAGGAACAGTCTCATTTGGGAAATAAAATCCCAAATCTTCTAAGCTGCATTTTAACACGAAATCACAAATCATGTACTATTAGCATTTCATTCTCCCCCAAGAATTATATAACTATTAGGAATCTTTTGGTAGCTCCTGCTGTTATGATACAGATTTCCTGCAAGTCCACGATGCAGTATTAACTTAATTCAAAGATATTATCAAGGACAAAAGAAACTTTTTCTATCTGTTTTTATTTGTTTCAATTATTCGGCTAGATTTTTCCCTCAATGCTTGCAGACAGAGCCCAGGGCTTCACACATGGGATGCAAATGCTCTATCAGTGAAATATATCTCAGCCCAATGAGCTTTAAGGATCTCACATTAAAGAGAGAAAACTAAGCTTATTCAGAGGGTAAAGGTGGCTGCAGCCAAATAGGATGACTTGAGTGCCATCTGTGGGACCCTGATGGTAGTAGAGAACCTACTCCTACAAGTAGTTCTCTGACTTCTACATTCATGTTGTGTGGCCTGTACACATGTATGCAAACACAATAGACAGACAGACAAACAGACAGACAGACAATTGTAATTTTTTAAAGAATCCAACAGCCAGTGAGATGGCTCAGTGAGTAAAGGAGCTTGTTGCCAAGCCTGATGATCTGAGCTTGATCCTTGGTTTAATCCCAGTACTTGAGAGGCAGAGACAAGCAGTTCTCTTTAAGTATGGGGCTAGCCTGGTCTACAAAGTAAATTCCAGGACAGCAAGAGCTATGTAGAAACCTTGTCTTAAAAAAAAAGGAAATTAAAAAAAAACAAAGAAAATTAAAAAAAACATAGGCATCTACTTATGTTTTATTGGGGGTGGGGGCGGCACGTTGTTTATTTTGAGACAGCATTTCCCACTTTGTAGCACTGGAGAGCTTTAACTCAGAGAACCTGTCTTTGTCCCCTACATGTTTTAATTAAAGATCTAGGAAACCTTCAGATTTAAAACATCATCTATGCTTTAAATTTTCTTAATATTTTATTATGTATATGAATGTTTGGCTGCTTATGTCTGTGTACCATGTTAAGTGCCTAGTGGCCATGAGAGCCATCAGAGTTTAGGATCATCTGGAACTACAGGTGGTTGTGAGCTGCCACATGGATTTTGGGAATTGAACCCAGGTCCTCTAGCGCAACCAGTGCTCTTAAGCACTGAGCCATTTCTCCAGCCCCATGGTCACCTACTTTTATGCCAACAGTAATACAAGGTATACCTAGAGCAGAGATAACTTAAAAAAGCCTTTCCAGTGGTTCCTAAAACGGTAATGATAGGCTCCTTCAACACTCACACTCACACTCTCACACACACACACACACACTCTCTCTCCTCCACCTCTCCCTCCCTCCCACCCTCCCTTTCCCTCTCTCCTTCCTCCCCTCCTTCCCTCCCTCTCTCTCCTTCCTCCCCTCCTTCCCTCCCTCTCCCTCTCCCTCTCCCTCTCCTCTTCCTCCCCTCTCCCTTTTGTTGCTCCTGTTCCTGGAAAACCAGTTCTTCTCTGGCTAGGATCACTCTATCCAGATATCTATGACTCCCTTTAGATCATTAGGGAAGAGTCAACTCATTGAGACCTTGTCCCAAACCCATATTAAAATAACAGAACTCAATGGGCTTGGTGGCACACACCTTTATTCTCAGCACTCAGGAGGTAGGAGAAGGTGGATTTCTAAGAGTTCGAGGCCAGCCTGGTCTACATAGTGAGTTCCAAGACAGCCAACGCTATACAGAGGAACCCTGTCTCAAAAAAGCAAACAAAAAAAAAAACTTAATCAAAAATTACAAAACCCCTCTAAAGATATACAAAGAATCTACATCTCCACTCTCTGCTTTATTTTTTTCTCCTGTATTTAATGCTGAAGTCATTTGTTTTGAGACAGGGTCTCATTCTAGGCTGCCCCTGCTGAGGAAGATTCTGAACTGATCCTATTGTCTCCACCTCCTAGTGCTACAACTTTAGAAATGGGCCATCAAACCTCTAACTTTTGTTTAAAAAAAATTGGTCTGTGCCAGGTATAGTTACATGTGCCTATAATCCCAGTACATGGGAGGCTGGGGCACAAGGATATCCCCAAGTTTAAGGCAAGCCTGGGCTATAGTGAAAGACTGGGGGAGAAAAATCTAAAACAAAACAAACAAAACCTGTTCAAACTATTAACACTAACTTGAATCTCCAGCACCTAGAACAGTGTGTGGCACATAGTAAATACTTAGTAAATACCTGATGTACAGACAATTGTACTTCACAAACTTCCATGTTCTATAACCACTTTCAATTTAAAGATGAAAAATCCAAACTATGGCCGGGCAGTGGTGGCGCACATCTTTAATCCCAGCACTTAGGAGGCAGAGGCAGGCGGATTTCTGAGTTTGAGGCCAGCCTGGTCTACAGAGTGAGCTCTTGGACAGCCAGGGCTACACAGAGAAACCCTGTCTTGAAAAACCAAAAAAAAAAAAAAGAAAAGAGTTCAAAAAATCCAAACTATGAGCCTAACTAAGGTTATGATATCAAATTATGGAGCCAGGGTCTTCTGGGTTCTACCCCTTCCTAATAAACCACTATTTCTACAAGCCCTCACCAATGGCCAGCTTTTGTTGTTCTTCAGTTTTAAAAAAGCCCAAATGAGCTATAGCATTCTAGTTCTGAGGAAATATCTGACAACAAATTAATCTATAGCACATGCCCCACCCAGACCAAGAGTCACTGTCCTCATATAACATTCAGTCCCCAAACCTGACAATGGGGCACCAGTATCATATGTAGAGGGTCAAAATCAGGGGAAAAATGTTAGAGGTACTAAACTATGACATCTTTTCCTTTCTCTCATCTCTCTTGACTTGTCATGATATGTTTTTAGTTGTTGGTATATGTTGTCCTAAGTAAAGTTAAAATTTTAAATTATTAACACAAATTTTACCATTCATTTATGTTGTACAATGTTGGTTTACACACATCATTAAACCAAGTATAAACCCCAGCTTCTGAATACCCATGAAGTCAGTCAAGCCAGCCTTGGTTCCAAGATTTTAGCCCCAAATAACCCAAAGCAAGGCAAAGAGGTCAAATTCAGAAATGCCCAATAAAGTAGTGATCTACAAAAATTATCTTCAGAACAAGGGATAAACCCAAAATATAAAAGCAGCTATTTTAAAGCTGTTCCTTTTCCAACTTAATCCTGCCTACCTTAAATTACTCTGTCTTTTTATAAAACACACAAGCATACTGTGAAAGACCACTGGCATTGGACCAGGGAATTAAAATTTTAACATCTACTCAGGAAAAAAAAACATTTTTACAACTAAAAATAATATACTCCAAAATGCTCTTTTCACTTTTAATTGACTATTTTAAGCCAAAACATTCTACAGTTTTGAAATTCTAGAAAGTAAATTCTATTTTTGAGCCACAAATATTTACTACCTTATTTTTTTTGCCAATTAACAGGTAGTAAAGAGTATTAATTAACATCTTTTACTACTGTCAAACTAGCACTCAAAGCACCTACTAAGTGCTGTAATTAAAAATGAGAACTGAATTACACTAATATTGCATTAAGAGCTAAAACGTTGAAATCCCCTGTACATTTCTAGATCTATTGAGCATTTGGGAAACATGAATGCATGTGTAAGCTCTTTAAAAACCATTTTTAAATGAGTAGAAGCATTCAGTCATCCTGTTCTGTAGATATGAAAAGCAAACATTGAAATTAAATCCTATATACTAAAAAAACACTTTTAAAATGATAACAGTAAATCAGATTGACAAAGGAAGTGAACCCCTTAAAAATATAAAAGACTAAATAAATATAAGCTGTTAAATATTCTGAGTAAGAAAAGGGGCTGAGAGGCCTAGAAAGATGAAAAGCCTTATAGTAACATTAAATTTGAATTAAAGGATACCGTTATTTAAATAAGCAGTTCGCATTTTGTAGGAGGAAGGCCAACCAACACTGACTATTAAACAGCTATCCATCACTGCGCTGTTCTGCTATTCCGTACTTATTTACTTATAATATAGAAATTAAGAGGCAGCAACAGTTAGCCACATTAACCACTCAAGCAAAGGTTACCTAAACAAATGACCTTACATTTTCTACAACACTTTACAGCTATAGATTATTTTCACATATATGACCTCATATAGTCCTCACTACCTTTCTGATATGGCTATTGACTACATTGCATAGATAAGAAACTGAGGCTCCGTGCGAGATTTCCTCAGTACGAGATTTTCTCAGTCACCCAGTCGGACCCAGACATTCTGATTCCACGCATTATGCCGCACATTTCGCATAGTTCTATTTCAGGCACAAACAGGATTTTTAAAGGGAAGGAACCGGTTGGGGGGGAAATAATCATGGTACCTGCAGCTCTATGCTGCAAAAAATGGCTGAATTATGCTTCTTCCTTTTTTTTCCTCTCCCTCCCTCTCCCCCCCCACACCAGAAAAAAATTTACATTTCAAACAATTTAAGTAAACTCAAAAACAAATTAGCTCCCAGCATCTATAAAATGTTTGAGTGCGGCCAGTGCCGTGAGGGCCACGGAACCCGTGCCATCCTCGGGGCCGCGGGCTAAGCCTGGGCTCCGCAGGCCGGCGGCCAGGGGCGGCTACGCACCTCGGGGGTCCTGTCCAGCCTCTAGTGGACGGCAGTCTGCATCAGGAAGAAGCGGGCCAGTGGCCGAACGGTGGGAGGGTCGGGCGCCGGGATGGACCGCGATAGGCTTCTCGGACCTCTACAAGGGGCCGCTCCCTGGCCGGGCCGGAGCGCTCCGGCGCGGGGCGAGCGTGCAAGCCGGAGGCCCCCTAAGAAGCAGTCCTGGGAAAGAAGACAGCGGTTGAGTGGCGAGTCCAAACAGTTGGGCTAGGCGTGATGCGCGCGGCGTCGGGGCCCAGCCTTGCCAATACCGGGGGACGTCGCGGCACCCCACGGGGCTCAGCAGGAAAGCCGACTTAGGGCCACGAACTGGGGGACAGCTGAGGGGGCCGAGGGTAATAGAAACGCCAGCAGTAACGACATAGACGACGGCGTCTCCGGGTTTCTGCCCCAAAGCGCGCGGAGCCTCGGGATCACCCACGCCGGGGGTGGAGGAAAGCGGGAAAGGGGCGGGAAAGGGGCGGGGCGTGGGGGGCCACGAGCCAGGGGCCGCTCCGGGCCTCGCGCCCCCTGCGGGCCGCGGGAGCCGCCCGGGGCCCGCCCAGGGAGGCGGGGTCCACGGGCTAGGGGCCCGGGCCAGGGTCTCTAGGACGCTGAAACAAGCTTCTCCAAGAGAGAGGGCGGGGACGGGAAGCCGTGGGTTAGAGAGCAGGCCCGGGAGGCCCCCTTAGCCCCTGAAGGCGCCCCGTGGGGGCCAGCGCGCCGCCTGGCGGGTGTTTACCTTCCCCCTGGTCGAGCGCCAATGCCGCCATCTTTCAGCCCAGGCGCGTCACTTCCGGCGCCACGAACAGGAGCGGGTGTGGGAACCGGGTAGAGGGAGGGTTGTCCCACGCCAGCTGCGTGCGCGCGTTGCCCCAGAGGCGGGCCTGCTACAGTAGCGGGGGCGGGGTTGGGGTGGCGCGGCGGGGAAGGGGCATGAGGGGATAGAGGTAGCGGGGCTCTGCAGGCAGAATCGGATAAGGTTTCCCCTCTGAGCACTGCCGTCGGGGCTGGAGAGACTCGGCAGTGCACTTCCCCCGGGCGACAGGGTCACTTCGCCTGACCAGGAGGTGGGCCCCGTGGCGCTGCGGCGAACACACAGTGCGCAAGTTGAGGGCTAGGAAACCCAGAAAATTCCACTTTTGCATCTTGCACACCGTCGGATGAGAGGAGTTTTGTCAATGGTACCTGTTATAAAAGTGACTTAGATCAACGCCAAATGACATCATTTTTGTAAAGCAATTTGCAATGGATCATTTGCGTCACGGTTCCACTTGGCTTATTGCATAGCAATTACATGTTTCACATACAAATTTCCCAGAGATGGAAAAAGTCACCGAAAATGTCCTATTTTCACCAGAGGTAGAAAAGTAGGATCTAAAAAAGCGGGTTTGTTTTGCATCAAAAATAGGCAAGAACGAATCTACGGAAGGCACCAATTTCTGTTGCTTTTTGGCGAGGGGTCTGTTTTATTTGTCTGTTTGCTTGTTTTACAGATCTGCTCTAGAATTCTAGGTCATGGCTTTTAAATACTACCCTTACTTGATTTAAGAATATGAAAATACACCGTGAGACTTTTGTAAATTTATTATATATCTCTGTAAGGAAGCTGTAGATAACAAATACACAGCTGAAGCTACTGGTTCTGCAACCAGTTAAAAATTAAGGCACCCGTGAACCACTTCTGATCTTAACCGAGCTTTTTGCTTCCCCTATCTCTAGCTCCACCACCGAAGCCCATCCCCCACCCCCGCATCGCCATTTCTCTCTAAATGAATATCTTGATGAACTTTTCAAGAGACTATGACTAAAAGCGATCAGCATCTCTTTCTAACAAACTTGATTAACATGCCACGTTTCCCAAGAGGCCAAAGTAGCACATCGTGTACTGTTTTGCTGAAGTACACTACTTCGTTGTAAAACTAATTATTATTTTGGAAATAGGAAATAATCTCTTTTCTGACTTAAACACTGAAGTTCACAATTTGTTTCACCTATTCTATCTTTACCAATAGTCCCTTTAATGCCTTTATTTGTGTTGGTTATTTTAAACTCCTAGCTTGTTGGGCTGCTGAGATGGCTCGGCAGTTAAGGGTGCTTGCCACTAAACCTATCAGAGTTCTAGTCTCAGGATCCACAGAGTGGAAGGAGAGAACTGTTTTCACTCACAAGTTGTTCTCTGACCTTGACACATGTCATGCCTGCACACATACACACATAAAAGGCAGTAACAAGATTTTAAATTCTAGTTTGCTATCTTTGTATGTTACTGCATGACTACCCCAGAATATATTACCTTAAAAAAACAAATTTAAAAATTAAACTATAAAGTTAACTTTCAATTGCACACATTCAATGTCTGAAGTTTATAAGTTTTATATGCCATAAATAGATAGCTAGAATAGTTGAACTTTTTTTGCTTTAACTAACAGACAAGCATCTTAAGCTATACATTACCATGAGTGAGTGATCTGTCTAGAGGCTTCTTCCTGTTTATGATTTGGAAAACTGACATGTTTGTGTGTCATGCGTAATATGTATAGCAGTGAGCGGTGTCACAAAGTATTATGATCGGTATACACATTTTATGGCATCATGTGATCTCATCTGGCATTTTGTTCTCTTGCTCTGTTTAAAGTCTTCTCAAAAATACTTTCCTGTTTCTGAATGTGGGTTGTTTTTTTTTTTTTTGCCAATATGTATGAGTGTTTGGCTGCTTGTGTGTATGTGCATCTACTGTGTGCCTGGTGTCCAGTGAAATTAGAAGACGGTATCATATCCCCTGGAACTGAAGTTACATGGAGCTGCCATGTGGGTACTAAGACTAAGCACAAACCTCTGCAAGGACAGCATATATGCTCTTATCCACTGAGCATCTGTCCACCTTCCTGTACTGCGTCTTTCCATCTATCTATATGTGTTTACTATATAAAACACCTCCCTTCAAAGCTATCCTTAATAAATGATGCTGCGCCAGGATGGGTGCTTGTCACATAATCCCCCAGAACTCACATAAAAGTAGAAGACGAGAATCCACTCTACAAGGTTGTCCTCTGACTTCTACATGTATGCTGAGGCATACCCATCATATAAATACACACAGTAATTTTTTTAAATCAATGTAGATGATGCCACTTTCATTTCTCTCCCTAGGGATGAAACCTAAGCCCTCACTGGTTTTTCAAGTACTGTGTTATATATAGGAGACTCTAAGATTTTTAATACCCAGGAAAATGAAACCCCTTTATCTAAATAAACTGACAGCTGCTGCAGTAATTCCTGTTTTCACTTACAGCAGGCATTGCTGGACAACAGTGATATGTTCTGAGAAACAAATAAGCAGGGGCAATTTTACTGTTAGGCAAACCTAGATGGACACCTAATGTGATGATGCACACCTTTAATCCAAGTAAGCCAGAGGCATGTAGATTTATGTGAGTGTGAGGACAGCCTCATCTACATAGTGAGTTCCAGGCCAGCCAGGGGCTACCAAGTGAGATCTTATCTGAAAAAAAAAACTATATGTAGTTTTTCTCAGGTACCATGGTTTGCTATGACTGCTTTCTTTATACCAGAATCAACCACAAAAGGAGTAATGTGTCGCACTCCAGTGTTAAGATAGCTGTGGTATCAGTAGGTAGTGGGAATTTTTCAGCTCCATTATAATCTTTTGAGAACACTATCATAAGTGCAGTCTGTAATTGATTGAAACTACATCCTTTCTATCTACCTACCTGTCTGTCTATCTATCTATCTATCTATCTATCTACCTGTCTGTCTATCTATCTATCTCTATCTATCTATCTATCCATCTACCTGTCTATCTATCTATCTATCTATCTATCTATCTATTTTACATTTATTTAGTTGGGGAGGGAACCATAGAGATCAGACAACTTGCAAGAGTTAGGTTCCTGTTTCCACCATGTGGGTACAGTGAATTGAACTTAGGTTGTCAAATTCAGGTTGTCACACTTGGTGGTAATAACTGCTGAGACTTGTCACTGGATCTAACTTTTTTTTTTTGAGATAGCCTTTCAATTATCCCAGCTTTTCAATTGGCCTTGAACACATTATACAGCCAAGGATGTCCTTGATCCACCTTCGACCACCTCCTCAGTGCTGGAATTATAGTGGTGTGTAGTGCAGTGGTTCTCACACTTCCTAACGCTGCGACCCTTTAGTACAGTTCCTCATGTTGTGGTGACCCCCAACCATAACATTATTTTCTTTACTACTTCTTAACTGTAATTTTGCTACTATAATGACTCATAATGTAAATATCTGATTTGCTGCCCTCACAACCCTCGGGCTGAGAACCACTGGTGTAGTGCTTGCCTAATATTCTTCAGATGTCAGGGATTGAACCCAGAACCTCATGTACACAACACAAGTTTTCTGCCAACTGAGTTACATCTTTAGCCCAGAAGCAACATCCTTAGACAACTCGAGACTGCACTTTTCTCATCATGCTGGAAAGTAACTGGAGTACCTTTATCCTTGAAGAGAGCCCAAAAAGCAGTTCAAAGCTGTCTCTGCTTCCCAGGTACTAGGATCACAGATGTGAGTGCCCACCCTGTCTTTTCTTAGCTCTCTAGCCAAGTGTTTAAGAATACAATACACATTCGTCAATCTGTTGATGTCTGGCTGTCTGACAGTACTAAGCCATGCTAGAAACTTGGTCTGGAATTAGAAGGCAGTCTCTAACTAGATCTTTTGTTTTGTTTTATGTTTTAAGAAGTTGAAAGCCCCTAGTGGTAGTGTGTACTTGCGTTATAAGAACTAACAAGGCTGGAGAAAGAGGATGCAGAATTTGAGCCAGTTAAGACTCTGTCTCCAAAATGAAAAGACTACCTTGAGCTCTTATGATGCATGACTCATGGGAAATTGGTATGCATATAAACATTAGAAGATTCTTGATTAGTGTTTAAGCATCTTGGCTGTGGCCTCTTAACTTTTTCTATTTCCTCTGGCCTTCTGATGTGTCATCACTTCTCTGAATTCCTCCAACTCTCTGCCCACTTCTTAATTCATGAACCTGACCCACTTTTCTAGGAAAAGTAAAAATTGTAAACATTGAAACTTCCATCCCTTTAAATAGCCCAAGGCTTCTGGAGATGTCCACACAAGGATTTCCCTCACTGCTCATCCCTTATGTCAAATCTGTAGTCTTTGTGAGAATCTTTACACTGTTTCCCTGTATTCTCTCATATCATGAAGCCCAAATCCCTCCCCACGATCTAGATGGGGTAATGCCAAGTCCTTAAACACAAGAAAGGATCCTGAGTACAAAGACAAAAGACAGCTGAAAAGTAGTGCCTAGTGTTTGCTTGAAACCCCTGCTCATCCCCTGCACAAGCTAGAAAAAAATCCTCATTTGCTTTTCTTCCCCACTCCCCAACCCAGCCTGCAGGAAGAAAACTTGCTAACAAGTCATCTCTCCCTGTCTCCACATTTCCAGCTACCC